TCTAATTTTCATTTTAGTACTAATGAGGTATTAGTTATTCAAAATTTTTTAAGCAAGGGAATTTTTTTGACATTATGGCAGTAACATTAATTTTCATATTTCATTTTTGTTACAGTATTTGTGTTTTTTACCTTATTTTTTGGATATAATGAGATATAATTTTTATTTTTTTGCTTATTTTATTTTATTATTTTAATAATGCTGTTAAAATCTGAATTCTTCAAAAAATTATTTTTTTAATATCTTCTCTTCGTCTTCGAATTTTTTTCCTTATTAGTGCTATCTGAATTGATTTCTTTGACTTAATATAATTATGAACCTGTATTTTTTTTTATCTTGAAGACCCTTCCTAATAGTAATAAATTAAATAAAGAGCATCTGAAATTCCTTATTTATAATTACAAGCTTAAATTCATGTTAAAAAAGGTAGCAATTCATATAGCTGTAACGTGTGGTCGAAATAGATATTTATCGTTCTTTAAATCATTAATTCTAAATAGCTACGTGGCAAAATAAATTTTTAAAAATTTGAAACATACAGGAGTTGGATAAAAAAATGCACAACTACTCTATTCTAACCCTATGTAAACAATCTTTTTTAATGAAAATTTTTTGGAAGATTTTACATGGCAAATGTGTGGGCACGTGTTGAAAGAACGTGTTGTTATCTTATTGAAAGAGTGTCGTTTTTATCGTTGAGAAATTCGGATCGCCTGAAGTGAGAAGAGGAAGTTAATAACTTTTTCTAGTGTCAATTCTAGCAATTTTAAAATTATTTTATAGGATTGCAACTGAATGCCTCTTTCATTATAGTGATGCTGAAAAAGGAACAAAGCTTTGAACTTCCTTCGTTCATTTTGGTGGCTGCAAAATTTGAATTGGGTAAAATTATACCATTTCCATAAGCTAAGAGCATGTTCTTTAAAATTGCAAAATTGTGCTTAAAGCTTTACCATGTAAAATCTCCCAAAACATTTTCTGCTAAAAGAAAGATTGTTTACATAGAGTTAGTATCGAAGAGAATCCATATTTTTATTCAACCCGTAATATATAGAATATCCAAACAAGAACCTAAATTTTGAATTATAATTTTTTTAAATATATCAGTAAAATTTTTATTTAACTTCTTACCACTTGTTTTCACATTTTATAATAACGAAAAAATGCTATTATCTAAACATGATAACATGTTTTTGGCTATATTAAATGGATATTTTTGCCAGGGCTGTAACATTTTTGTCGAATTTGGCCATGTTTTTATTTCCACAATTCAGGAATAAGAAGAAAAGTAATACCTACAACCTAAAACTCATATTAAATTAGAACATTTTGAAATGGTGTGTTTGTGTTCTGCACAAAATTGAAGCTTGTCACATTCGGTATTAAAATTGGGTTGATAAATTTTTTTGTATTGCCTTGAAAAGAACAGTTCCTTAATTGAAGATGAAAAAAAAAACTCATCTAATTAGAGATTTTATGAGAAAAATATAATATCATTAAATTTCAAAAGCGCCAAATCAACAGAAAGGTACGGTACGGATAAAAATTGTTATAAAGATTATAATGCAAAATATTCCGATATTGCAAATTATTATAAATTCAATTTAAACAAAATTGTTTCAATTGCAGTTCATATTTCATTTATTTTCAATATGATATTAGCATTTTAATTCGTTGTATTCCTTCTACAAACGAGATTAAATAATTGAATATCAAACTGTAGTTTAGGATCTATGTGAATAGGGTCATACTATCCAAGAAAAGACAATAACTTTTAATTTATTCTTCTGCAAGTGATAATTCCGTAAATAAGGTTAATAAATAAAACTGTGAAAGGAAATGTTATCATTGACATAGGTATACAATTCGTTCGGTACTATTTGAAGTAGCATAATCTGCGCCTTGGCACGGATGATGGTGCATGTTATAGTACCGAAAGTAACGTCAATCCATTTGATTGATAATATTTGAGCTCAAATGTTATCTTTCGAGATTATCTTAACTCCATCATTTTCAATCACTATCAATTCAAAATTTCGAAAATTTCTATCTGCTTTCCAATTAACACCAACTACTTTATTAATTTCATTAAACCACGTGATTTGTGATTGTTTTCTGGGTCGCATGATGTCATGAATATACTAGTTCAAAAAGATTAAGTCCATTGATTTCAATCTTATATTAGAGCTATAAGGCCAGCTTATTGGTCAGCGTTAAATTTTCTTTATTATAACGAAACATTTTGTTCATTGGCTTGCCCATATTAATCGCTTTCGCACTTTCATCGCCAAACGGAATGAAATATCTTTCCACACTTATCTGCGTTGTTAGATTTATTTTTTAAATTTGGAACTCTGTTGGAACTTTTATGCTATTTTGCGTACATCAGATCAATAATTATTAAAAGTTAACACGAAGAAGATTTTCATGTTTAAAGATGTCAGCAATTTTTTCCACGAAAAGGTGACTTGAAGATCCTGCTCAAAAATAATTCCCTCGAATCCTGCTGAAAGGGTTTTTTCTTTGTTAGTATGTAAGCCTATTAATGAATCCTAGTTCATTTCCATTACGGAATAAAGATAATTCTCTTTTGATTACATTATTATACATTTAAATGTTTTTTTGAAACTGGAAAAGCATTTATTTAGAAAATTGGCAAGACTTAAGTATAACAAAAAATACATTTCGAACAGATAATATTTCAACCTAATTTTCGTCATCCAATTCCTAAAACAAATGTAGCAAATCTGTTCATTTTCCCAGACTATCCATTATTCTTTTATATTTAGATAAAAGACTCAGTTTCCTAGAAAGTAAGTCAGTCAACAAGTAAATAGAAAACGAAACATAAGTCCAAATATTCACTCCATTCCCTAATGGGAAGAATTTACTTTATTTTCGTCCATTTTATGAATATAACTGTGGCAACCGGATGTCACCAATCGTTCGATAAGTATTTGCGCAACGTCATTTCGTTCTTAACCAACCAAATATTACTGTCTTTTGCTTTTTACTGCAGATGGAAAAGTTTTTTCTTCTGTTTTAGGTTCTTATTTAGAAAGCAATAGTTCGCAAGGGAATTTCGCGAGGCACTGTATTTTGAATAGTAATTCCGTTGGAAAAAATCAGCTCATCAGGGGTAATTCTCAAGGTTGGCTTTTTCTTTATTTCTATTTTACGAAGTAATGAGGCACTTCTTATGTGGTTTTGAGTAAAAAAGTATTTCGCAATTTGCTTTTAAACTAAGTAAATCTGATTCAGAAAGCGTAAAGCAAATTTTGTAATCTGAACTTGCTATATTTTCAGAAATTGAAACAATTTTGAATATTCATTTTGAAGAAAGAAAAAAATTATCTCTAGAAGTTGCTATTATTTCCTTACTTTTTAGGACATTGATAGCAATATTTTGTTAAATTTTCAATCCTTTTTATTTACATATACTATACTTCTCCATAATATACTTCTAGTCCATTTTAGTTGTATTTGTTAGAAGATATCTTGTTTAGCGTTTTTATAAATTTTGTGTTAAATAGAAATGATCTTATCTTAAAAATACTATGATTATACCTAGTTGCAGCATAACTACCCTAATGCATTTGTTAGAGCTGTAACTTAAACCGCGCCACGTAATTTGTACTCCAGTTAAACTACGAGGTCAATATCTGAGCTGATATCTTTTGTCTCGAAATCGTTTTCTAAAATTATCTTTCATAAGATTAAGTTCAAAGGATACTCCACTATACAATGAATAAACATTACATAGAGAAATGGAAGACATTGATAAATATAAGAAAATTACATTTTACATAACAGTTTTGGCGTAATTTTGAAAGTTTCATAAAAAATCTGCTCACTCTCGTCATAATTTGAATTTTCTTTTAATTTGATAGATCCGAATTGAAAATTAAGTATGTATTTTGAAAAGAAAGCGATTATTTCTTGATTTTATTCAAGACCAGCCACTGTTAAAATTTCCACCTTTTGTAATTCTCTTAAATATATCGAAAAAAGTCTTTTTATAAGTGACTAATGATGGTCAGAATATTTTCTAAACATTTTTAACATCTTTTCAGCATAGTTTTATATTGTAATTAACTATGAACTTAAAAATCGCTAATATTATTTAAAAATGTAATGGAATTTTATAATTTAATTTAACGATGCTTCTCAAAACCACTCTATGAGTCCTATTTGTTAAAATACACAAAAAAAAAAACAAGCGAAGTATTTTTTGATGTTCTGAGGTAAAAAAAAGATAATCAACGAAAAAAAACCTGTTAAAATCAAATTCTTTAAGGAAAAAAGTTACTTTGATATAAATTAAAAACAGATATTTAAGTAAAATACAAAATTTGCAGAAACTGTTAATTTCTTAAAAAAAAATTCATATTTCCATTTCGATACTGCATGTTTCATATTCTTACTAGTATCAAAATTTTTTTTTAAAAAAATTTGGAATCACTATAAATTTTTATTAATATGTTTTAAAGTTATACGATGAAAAAATAAATGATGAAAAATTAATTCTTCGATATCATTTCGATGCAAAAGTTACTTCGTACCTTAAAAAATAAAATATTTTGGTTGTAGTCTTCGATAAAAGTTAGGATATTGATTCGAGTGGTTATTACAAAGCGGCGAAATAACCTTAACTAATGTAATAAAATAATTAAATTAATTACTCCATCTTTAACAAATTAGAACCCCTCGTAACTCTCATTCCTTATTGTAAATCAGTTCTTCAATAAATTTTCCTAATATCTGTGCTGAAAACTATACAAATAAACAGAAGAAGAAATAATCATAATTGAATTTTTAATGATGTTTTAAAAACATTCAAGGGTAGTTATGAAACAAATAACATGGTTAAAAATGAAAATTTATGATAGTTTCAAAAATGAAACTTCCCTGAACAATATTTTTCCTCTAAAACTCTTTATTCATTCATTAAACCAGAGCAAGTAATGCGTAAATAACATTTGCTTACTTGCCACTTTTTGTTCCTTTTTTTTAAAGCTAAACATTAGTTATTTATTTCCGCTTCTGTTAAAAACTAATCGAGCATAATCTCCGCCACGTTAGGCTTAGTAAAAGGAATGCTGGAATGAGTATGCCACTTTTAATATATGTCATTAATTTTTATCACTTTATTTCCGTTACAGTTGGGGTGAAGTGTAATGAATGCAAACGTTGAGAAACTAGTTTAATGGATTTTGAGGTATATAACGTATTTTTCGCTTTTGAGATAATAATAACATGTAAGTATAATTTTTTTCATTGTTTGGTAGCTACACTTTAAATTTTGGGAAAATAGATGGTATTTCAGATAGTTGCTATAAATCATTTTAATTCAGCCGGTAATGATATGAACTCGCTGATTTAAATGTTCTTTCTGTATATTTATATTGGGATGTTTCTTCCTAAATGTGCCTTCAATATCTTTTGTAAATTTTTTTTAGAATATTGACTGAAATATAAAATTTTCAACGAATTAGAACAGGTTTTAATTTTTGATAATCAGAAAGAGTAAAAATTATTTAAAGGTGTTGCACTCTTTTGATAACCTACGGATTATTTATTATTTTTACAAGAATTATGTTGATATGAATTTTTAAATTTTGAGTAATTTACATACGGCTGATTTAAAAAGTTACGAATGGGGTGCTTAAAAATTAATGGAGATGTTCGCAACTGATAACTCGTGGAGTACTTATTAATTCTTTTTATAATTGGATTGTTGCATCTCGAGAAGAAGTGAAGTAATTACGCCTAACCATGTAATTGATACCAAATTTAATTGGATACCTGTAAGCGACGTCTCGAGTGTGTCGAATCTGATTGGTTTCTGAATTGACAAATGCCACAATTTACCTACGATGACGTCATTTGCAAATTTCCGATTATGCTCAAGTCAAGCTTTTAAAGTTTAGGCAATTCGCATAGTGTTGACACAAAATTTTACTCCACATTAACTATCAGTTTTAATGTGTTACATATTTTACTTACTTACTGTATATACTTACTGTACATAGGATTTTACTTACTGTATATAGGATTTTACTTACTGTATATAGGATTTTTCTTTCATCTCCATTTAGTGTTTTTCTCGATAAATATGTAATAGAAATTTATCATATTTTGTTTAAAATATATTATGATTCAAAATAATTCAAAAATACGTTATTTAATCATTAGATGAATATGGCATAACTTACTAATATTTTTAGACGTCATAGTGTGTCCCTCTGCTTTAGTAAATTTTGTTTTGTCAAAAAATATATATTATTAATAGTTAAGCTATTAAATTTATCAGCTTTATTTATCTGTAAATTTTATTATTTTATTTCGGTAAAAAGTATATATTAATCATCAGTAAGAAATTTTCTAACTGACGGAATCTAACAAGTTTAGTCAATACTTTTCAGAAAAAGAAAGTTTTTCCCACAATAACATTCAATAAGAATGAAATCCACTTATTCCGAAGTTTTATTTAATCCTCAAAAAACTCTTAAGCCGTTTAAGATAATCTTTTTGAAGACTACAGCAAGCTTTCTTTTATCGCATCAATGGATTTATAATATATAAAAAAACCTAAAATGTTACAATACCTCAGTTGGGCTATTGCATCAGTACATTTAATCATGTGACCATAAATTGGTTAAAAAAAATTTAAGATTATAAAAAATGTAGTAAATCTCGATTATATGTACCTCTTTTATCCGAATTCCTATGTTGAATTTTTTTCACGCGTGCTTAGTTTTTTCCTTTTCTCGATTCGATTAAATGAGACTTTCAAAATGAAAAAAAAAAATATTTGAATTGCATCAATGCTTAAAATTGACCACTTTATACCAGTAATAAATTAATGTTCGTTGCTTCTTGTTTTTTTGTTTCAGCTGTCCTTTAATAACCACTACTGTGGTTTAGTTTGACCACCATGGCTTCCACTTCTTTTTAAAGGGAATACGTAGTATTAAGTCTCCAACAAAAATATAATTAGCCTGAATGGAATATGGCGGAAGCCTTATAAGGCCTAATGAATAAAAACTTAAAACTATTTGCGTAGTTAAATTGTCTTTCTTGTAAGATCGGTAAGTATACAGGTTGTGTTTCGGTAATCTCACTTTCGGTAAGAGCTTAAGTTACCAGGTATGTAAATGTATACGAGCCACATTCCTCAGTTTTCAAGCTCTCATAAATGATTGTTTTGCACAAATGAAAGAAATCAAACGAGTTCAACATTAAGTCAACTCAAGGTTTCAAACTTGAGTTAGAAAAAGTACTTTTTAAGCTATTCGAGATAAGGGATTGAAAGAACTTCATTTACAAAGTTCGTAAAGTACACTATTTCGTAAAATCAATTTGATTCTGTGGTTATATTTTAAGTCATGCATGTTAACACAAACTCAACCTCAAATACTATTTTTACTTTTATCGAACTTAGCACATATATTCAAAAGTGAGAAATTTAAAGTAATTTGTAGCACAAGTCAAAATGTTTTACATTCACATGTATGTTTTAATCTATTAAAATGTTTTCTCTTGGAGATAAAACATGTTGGAAAGAATTTGTCAGAGAATTCTAAAACAAGAGAAAAGAAATAGAATGAAAGAATCACTCAAAGAATTTTTATTTGTGTAGAATTTTATTTCAAAAATTAAGGTTTAACCTATTTTTGGTATATTTTTTTAAATAACTTTAATAAGCATTGCAATTAACTTCTTGTATCAGGGTATCTTTTTTACAAGTCCTGCATCTGTTATTATTATAAAAGAATAAACTGATTTTGATTAATATTGGTGTGATTGAATGAAAAATTTAATGTCCCAAGACCCAAAATCTCCTGTAATACGTTAAATATATAAGGTACTGTTATAAACTCGTACCTTTTCATATACTCTAGGGGAATAAATAATATGATCTTATTAATTAACGATATTACTAATCCATAAAATAAAGTTCAAAAAACATTTCGAAATGGAAAAAAAGCATCATTTGAGTAGAAATTCCATGCGTAGATAATCCAGTGTAAATTCTATACATTTACTTAAAATAAATTCATAATTCAGGCTTATTTGAATTGAGTTTGTTTCAATAAAAAAATTTTTTTTGGTTCATGTCTTAAACTATAATATACAATTGAAGATAAAAATCGACTATGGTTTATCTTATACTTCTTTATGTAATTACATTCTATTTAAATTCTGCAGATGGTGCTCTGTAACGACTGCTCTTAGTACAGTTTCTTAAATATTTACCAAAAAGGAAGTCAAAAATTTATGCTCTAGAAATTGCAAATTATTATTTGATGAATCGCTAGAGAGGAGGGGGGGTGAGAGAGTCGGTGGAAATAGGGAAGGATTGAATGGCGATACTTAGAAATACCTCAAAGTTGTTTCGTGCAATCAAACTGGTTTTGAAGTGTTTCTTCTTGACTTTCTCACTAAGGATTCGCCAGTTTTTGATAGTGTGTTTGTTTTTGTGTCTCTTAAATTTTAATTTGCGACTTTCTTATGTGCATATTTTTTCTACTTCTTTTTCAAATACATAAATAGTCGTTATAGAACACTAAAAAAAAAGTCGATTATTTTCTAATTTTGGATGAAATTTAATCTGTGTGGTTGTGAAAATATAATCTAATGTTAACTATGTAATATGAAAAAGAATTATGAAATTATTTCTTTATACTATTCATTCTACATATAGGGGTTGGGCTGAAATTTGGAAATACTTTTGTACTAATACTATGCAAGCAATTTTTCTTTTAGCAGCAAATATTTTGGAAGATTTTACTTGGCAAAATTGTTGGCTCAGTTTGAAAAATCATGTTTAAATCGTTTAGAAATAGGATTCTTTTCACCCATGTAAAATTTGCATCGAACAAAACTAGCTGAAGAAGGTAAATGCTTCTTTCCTTTTTCAATACCCTATAGTTATAAATAAACGATTATGGAATGATTTCAAATAGAAAGAAGTTATTAACTTCGTAGCCTTAGTCGATCCGAATTTTTCACGGGTAAAATAGACACAATTTCTAAACGCTAAAAGCATGATCTTTCAAATTTTACCACGCAAAACCTTTAAGAACATTTGCTGCTAAAAGATTTACATAGAGTTAGCACAAAAGTGTTGCCATATTTTTGTTCAACCCCAGCAGAGTGTGTGAAAAAAAATAATAAATGGTCCACTCTGAGCAACTTTTGATCCACTAATCGGATCTTCACGATCTGGTATTACTGATGTCCTGTGCGAATTAATTACGATAGTCCAGACGATATTTTAAGTTACGAAATTGTACTTTATATGAATAAACATACCTTTTTGTTGACGGATTTAGATTTCTAATCTCCAAAATGTCGGGGGTAACTGCAGGGAAATATGGTTCCAATATCAGGAGAGCAGTTCAAAGTTGGAACCCTTTAATGTTATTTTTTTTGTTGCGTATTTCGTGACATCTCGAGAACTTCTTAAACGTATTAAAAATTTTGTTTTGCTCCCAATTATAAAATTTGTTTATATAAAGACAATTACATACATGAATAATTTGTTTTGCTTACTACATTAGCTATGTCAATGTAAGGAAAAAATAATGCTAAGGAAATGTCAATGAAAAACTTTTTTAATTCAGGCTTGAATGAATTCGAATTCCATTTGATATAGTGTCTCATATTTCCCCAGCTCTTTAAATTATATTATAAAATTCAACATGACATTTTTCTGAATAAATAATTCCACTTTTATAAAAAAAAATTAAAGGTTGAAAAAATAAATTTTTTTAAGTAATAAAAATTCATTAAAATATTTTATTTCTCATTAAATGTATTTTTGAGACCTTTATTTTCTTTTGATAAAGTTCTTCCTAGTGAGATAACTGCGCATGGAATTTCGTTTCGCTTCTAACCTTAATTACCCATTCCATTTCCGTAAGCCTTTGTTTAACTATCTCTTCCCGTTCATATGTTTCGTTAAAAGAACGCGATTTATTCTGAGCGACGAAATTTTTTTAACGGAAGGATCGTTAAGCTCTTTTTCCAATTAGCAATTTCGAAATAAACCTTCTATTCTTTGTAAGGTATTAACGTTAGAAGCATGTTACATTCATTTGGGTGGAATGGTTTCAACTTAGTAAAACATAATGAGAACTTCGTCAACAATTAACTGTGACTAACATTGGTTGGTGACATTTAGGATCTCTATGTTTAGGATCAGAAGGAAATGAGAATGCCACTTGTTTGAATACTAATGAGTGCTCCGAAA